TCACTCATGTGTGCTGAGAATGCCTTAATGCTCTGTGAATCACAGATAACACAGAGCTCTACACCTTATTTGGTGTAAAAGGAGGGAAATTGTTTGAGCAGAACGTTAAAAAAAAGTTCGCAAGAAGCTGCTGTCTTGTTGTAAGTACAGACATTTATCAGTTATTAGTCATTAGTCGAAACTGATAATGATGGGCAGTCAAGCATAGTGCTTCTCATCTTTGTTTTCGATGACGACAGGGCTGCCTGCTGCCAAACAGTGCCTCAAAATGGAGAAAGGTACTTAAACTTGCTTCGGATGAGCAACTGGGTGCATGCCAATTTTTTACATGAACAGTCATAAGCATGTTCCTGCACAGCAGGATGTGATCAAACTATTCAAAGCTGTAAAACCAGGTTTGCTTGCCAGTTATGTTATTGCTTCAAGATCGGTGTATTACAGACAGTACTTTGCCAGCCATGAAACCACTGTTTTTCCTTAGCAACAAATTCTACACCTTTAATGTTTAGAACTCTGTATAGAACTGACTGTTCCCAATTAAAAAAAAAAAAATTACAGAATGAAAGTTAGGACTGAAAAGATATCAAACACACTATCTCCTGAACTATCTAGCTTTAAAAAACAACTTCCTTCAAGCTGTACCAATTAAAATGTCCCCTTTCTTCTCTAAATCAGAAGAAAAGTAATTCTAATGACTTTACTGAAGTCCTCAGCTTCAGCTGCCAACCCTGTAATCATATTAACATTCCTGTCCATAAGGTGTGATGTGGTTAATAGGTGGTTGCTAGTTTGAGACATTGCACTGTATTGCCTCCTGCTGGAAACCATTTCTTTAAAGTATTTTATGAAGATCACACAATGTGACTATGCCGTATGTAATCTTTATTAAAGGTCTGTCACTAACTGGATTACTCAAGCAAGAAAGATTTTTGAAGACAGGCAGAACTGTAGTACAACCAACTGGACAAATACATTTTTTCTTTGAATGGGTTAAGACAAAACCAAACATTACAGAAAAGAAATTGATGTCTTATTTCTCATGACAGTCAGCATCTTTCTCCATTTTCCTTTCAGAGGATCAGTCATCAAACAGACTCAAGCTCCCCAGTATAACACAATATCTGTTCACTAACAAACATATCTTAGCAAATACAACCAAACAGTTGAGTTTGTTTTTTTAGGGGGGTTGGTACAGGAGAAGATGGATGTCAATGTTTAGCCACACTTTAGGTGTTTGTTTTTTATTCACTTGAAAATACATACTAAAAGTAGTATCAAATATTTGAGTTTATACCATTTTATTTGTTTTCACACATACAAAAAGTAGTTTGCATATTTGCTCAGCAATCTAGTGAATGATCTAAGATTACATACACATGCACAGCCCAGTACAGTGATAGAAGTGCCTCTATCTGCTTCCTAGGAAGAAGTAACATTCATGTTTGAAATCACAAAAAATCATGCAGAGGTTCTTGGGTGTTACAGCTCAAAAAAACACTGTCAGGACCTGTCCAAGACTAGGACAGTGCTTGTCACTTTTTGATGAATAAAAGAAATATTCAAATAAAATTCAAGTAGAAGAATCACAACTAGCTAACCATTGTCAAGTATGCTGCAATAACAGTCCAGTTAAATGCAACTTAACAGTATAACTGCCAGAAAAAGTATTGCAAAGCTGCATTTCAAAGACTAGTTGAAAGTAATCTGTATTTACTTGGTCATAGGAAACACACAGTTTATAGAATGTCCATTCTCCAGGAACAGAACCTATTCCTCACTTGAAATCAAAGCAATTTGTTCAAGCTGTGAAGGCTTTTGTATTATTGTTTCTTACTGAGAAAAATCAGAAATCCTACAAGTAAAACCCAAAAAGCTAGATACTACTTATATTCACTGTGCTCAATTGTCAAATGCCAGGCTATTGTGAAGAAAACCATAAAGAAGGATAACAGATGCAGCTTCATTAAACACAGTCAGTCTAAACCTTATTATCATATAGGCAGTTCTCTGTCATATGGAACGAGTTATGGCAGTCACTCAAATGACATTGCTGCCTCCAGCACTGCACAACAGCAAGTAGGAACAGAGCAACACGGTGTTCACACAGTTTAGCTTCCATTGCCCAGTGACCTTTGAACTTAAAAAATGGCTTTTCCAAAGGATAGCCACAGCACACTAATGGTTTACTCTTTTTCTGCTTTGTCTCAGCCTGTTCTCATCAATCCCCCCCTCATATTTGATGCCACCTCTACCAAAAATAACTCACAGACATTATGAATGCCCGAGACGACCTCAGATCTAACTTCCAATAATTTGCATTTGTTATGCTAAGTGTATACATCCCCTGAATTATACCTAGTCCCTTTGTGGTCTAATGTAGGAATCCCTTTCCTATTGTTCTTGCTCTTAGCACTGTAATAACTACTGCTATTGCAATGTTAACAAAAGACTACTAATAATTCAAGCATGGTACGAATTCCCAAGGAATCATAAAGTAAGAAACACAGGTTGAAATGGTAGCTTCAATTCCAAGGGCCTATTTTCCAGATTCAAGAGTTTTAGCCGTAAAAGCATCACATATGTGAAAACACAACACATGATCAACAGAGTTCTATTAATAATAATTAATTTCAAACAATGGTATTATAAATTACAAATAGTATCACAGTAGTACAGCTTAATACCAAATATTTAAATTTTAATTTGGCAGGGATTTATTATTTTATTGATTTATTTTTTTCAGCTGCACTATCTACTTAACATTACCTGTGCTTTTTGCTGTCAAGCCTAAAGATGGCTTTGCTAGTTGTGGCACTTCAGCTGTTACTATATAAAATAATTATCTTTATTAATTTCCAAGCTGGTTACTTGGAAAAGATTACTCCTTAAACAGGCAGCTTAAAAATCAATTAAATTAAAATGTATATTGAAATGCTCTGCAATGACATTCTTCTGACTTTCATAAAAGTTTTAAGGTTCAAGTATCCCTGAAAGGCCACTTCAACAAGAGAGGCAAAACTGACAGAAAAAAAAAAAAAAAACAAAACCATTCTGACCTGTACCAGAAATAGTGTGGCCAGCAGAAGTAGGGAAGGGATCATGCTCCTGTACTTGGCACTGGTGAGGCCACACCTTGAATATCGTGTTCAATTCTGGGCCCCTCACTACAAGAAGGACACTGAGTTGCTGAAGCGTGTCCAACAAAGGGCAATGAAGCTGGTGAGGGGTCTGGAGCACAAGTCTTATGAGGAGCAGCTAAGGGAGCTGGGATTGTTTAGTCTGTAGAAAAGAAGGCTGAGGGGAGACCTTATCACTCTCTACAACTACCTGAAAGGAGGTTGTAGTGAGGTGGGTGTTGGTCTCTTCTCCCAAGTAACCAGCGACAGGATGAGAGGAAATGGTCTCAAGTTGTGCCACGGGAGGTTTAGATTAGATATTAGGAAAAATTTCTTGACCAAGAGAGTGGTCAAGCATTGGAACAGGCTGCCCAGAGAGGTGGTGAAGTCACCATCTCTGGAAGTGTTCAAAAAATGCATAGACGTGGCATTTCAGAATATGGTTTAGTGGGCATGGTGGTGTTGGGTTGATGGTTGGACTTGATGATCTTAAAGGTCTTTCTTTTCCAACCTTAATGATTCTATGGAAAATATCAAAAGATCTTTCTCTTTTGCTGAAAGCTTTTTTCTTATAAGCTGCTCAGTTTTCAAATGCCCTGTGCAAAGAACAGAAACTTTTGGCAGGACTGCTGGATGGTTCCCAGTAGATATGCTGCTCGTCATTATTATAAAAGCAAAAGAAAGTAGACTGAGAAAGTAAAGTTCCACCATTAACATCTTCCAACATTAACATCCTTTGCAGTCCATACTGGATAGACACATAAAATACTTTAAGCACCAAACAGATGGTGCTTTCAAGATTAAAGTAGGAGAGAATGCAAAAACAATGATAGCAAAAAAGTGAAAATTGCAGGGTGTGTAGAAGGGACTCTTTTACCAGCAGACTTCTCAGTACAACATAAATTCAATAAACATTATTAATAACACTCATGATCACAAACCTGACTTTAAATCTAACAGAAATTAGTTAGATGTGGGTTAACTTTGGTAACTCCCATTAAAAATCTAAATTTTCAATATTGGAAGAACCAGAAAAAATGTCTTGCCTGGGATGAATACCTAAGGAGTTTTGTCCAGTCTAAAATCTTGTGTTTTCCCAGGAGATATATCTCTTACTTGGACTGTACCTCCCTGCAGCATGTTCCTGTTGAGCTAAATCTAGGTTAAAAATCAGGAAAGAAAACTGCGGGGAAAAAAAAAACCAAGCCACAGAAAAACTCTTCCATGAGATGGGAAAAGCAAGAAGACTCCCTTCATAGTGAAGAGAATGAAGACAACATTGTTCTGTGAAAACAGGAAATTGTAGGGAATGAGTGATCCGAGCAGAAAAAGGACCTCAGGTTCTTTAAAGTCATGCGGCAGACGCTAAGACCTTGAGAGTCAAAGACCACATGCTGTTTTTTATCTCATCAGTGTAAAGTAACAAAGGGAGGAACTGCTTGCATTGTTGCATGTGGTACTGTTATCTTCCTTTAACGTACATTTCTCCCACTTATAACCCTTTACAAATCCTTGAGTTGCAGTTAACTGTCATCCAATGCACCACACCAATACAGCATACTGCAAAACTAACCTTTAATAGCTTTTTATATTGGTCAATACACTGAAAACTATTTTCTTTTCAAAAAGGAGACAGTTAGTGATCAGGTCCAAAAAATACAAAAATAACTTTTCTCATGAAAAGCATTGATGCCATTTCAGTGGGCACTACTACTATGAAGAAACAGTTGATCATTAATCATCCATTGCCTATAAGGGCTCTCTGAGATTTTCAACAGAGAAAAGTAAACAAAATAATTTTCTTCCCCAAAAGTAAAGCAATAAAAGAAAAAAAAAAAAAAAAGAAATTTAGTATTGAGTGCTTATATACTTGTAGAGACTTACTTGAGACAACGCAGCATCCCGTTGTTCTATTACTGCATTCATTTCCTCAGCTATTATTTTCTTTTTACGCTCTTTGGTCTTGTGTATTCGATTCAGAATTATAGCTCCATTCTTCAGTATATCTATCCCTGTGTCTGCATTGTTTATTCTGTTCAGTAATTCCTGTAATGTCTACCAACAGCAGTATATGTTAGTCAGACATGAAGTTTTAATATATTTTATTTAATATAGGGTTTTAATTAATAGGCACATGTGAATTGTAAATTGACTGAGTGAAGTTATTGAATTTTCATATTGCAGCAAAGATGTACATTATTAGTGTGTCAATTCTTCTTTTTCCCACATCTTAGTTCTTGAAACCCACTCAATTGAACTTAAGCCTCTAAGATATAAGACTGACATCAAGAAATCTCCTCAGAGAATGGCTTACCATGTCATTTTCTTCAGGGTTAATATTTTCTAGCCTAGAAAAAAGGGACACAGAAAGCCTGATCAGTAGCATTTCCTTAGTGCAGCAAAATGAGTTCGCTTTTTAAATCTTTAGAACCTCAAGTAATTTCATTCTACTAGTCTTTAGAGTCAACCATGACACTGAACATATTAAAGTGCCACCTGCTCGACTCCATCTTTCAATAATGCTCCATATCTTCAGCACTGACTTCAGACTGTTAAGTTATTAATGTTTACTGCTATATATGACTACAAGGATCAATTGTTCATATGTGCTTAGATGAAGAAAGTTCCCCAGTGATAGAAATGACTGATGCTCTTATTTTATTTATTTCTGGGCTTACAACTTTTACCTGACATTGTATTTTTGTTGTTTTTACTGCATCCCAAATGAAACAGGACAGGACTTTAGTGGAGATTTTTTTTTTTCATTTTAAAGTAACTCTTTTTCCAGCTCTCTCTTCCAAAATGAGGAAAAAAAAACCTAGTTGAAGTTTCCTTAAAAATATTTTGGTTATATATCTTGCACAAAATAACAAACTAAGTTAACTCTCTGCAAGGCCCTTATTTAATTCTGGGACAAGCACTTTTCTCCCTTTCTATTTCAACAGAACAGATATTGACCTGTCAAATACAAAGATGATATGAGGAATTTAGTCATACAGCTTTGAACATTGGCTGTGCAAAAGTAGTGAGTGATAGCACAAAAATCTAACAAATGGGATAGGATGCATTTTATTTTACCCAAGGTTAGTTATATGGACAGCGTACTATTTAAAACACTTAGATGTATTTTAAAATGTGAGACCTCTTTTCTGGAAAAATGAGCATATTAAAGTTACCTCACCACTCCATTACTACTTACTTAATGGCGACTTCTACAAAAAGTAGGTCTGTCACTAGCATAAGATATTTTAAAAGACAGTTACAGTACCACCTACTAAACAGCAACGCTCACTTTTTCAACAGTACTGTCACAGGTGCTGCTCTGAAGCCAAATTTTAGCTAGCAAACATCACAGAGCACTTGACAGCACACTAGCATCTTTTACCTTAAAGTGTTAGTTTTACCAGATAACAGTACATAAGGCATAGTAAATCAACCAGTAGAGAAATTATTTAAATCAAAAAGAAATAATTCAGAATGTATTACCAGTGTACAATAGCTGGTACAGTAACTACTCCAACATATACAGTCAGCACCACAACAAACCAAAACCTTTACTGGGTTTGACTTATATTAATAAAGTAACACAAATCATAAAGTAACAAACATATTATAAGTCCAAATTCTCAGAACTGGCTCCTTGACTTGGCTCTTTGTAGAGTTCCTGCTTTAGGTTTTTACATTGCTCTAAGTGCCACTTCATGTGGGACTTAAAAATGGATCTCCAGCTAGTTTGTATTCACAATGAAAGGAATGGTATTTGTCAAAGTAAATTGGCAGGGCTGACCCAGCTTCTCCAGAGGGCTTTTACCCTGCTAAAAGTGTGGGTCAACAAAATCACCCAGCCGACCAACAAGCTGGATAAGCAAGACACCTCAGGAAGAAGTGAAGATGGGAAAAAGAACAGGAACTCCTACTTTAAGTATAGCCCTTCAGCATACTACTGCCACAAGGGATGTCTGTAGGTGTACATACACCCCCTTAGGTGACAGTATTTTTTAAAAAGCAGCATCCAGGGCTGTGTATTTGCCCTGCTCTCTCTCCCTATGCTGTGCACAGGCAATAAGTGACCCTTAGATCTCACATGATTTTAAACAGCAGTAACCAAGGACTCCTGTCCCCTGCATTTCTACGCACATTCTGCTAACGTAACACTTGGGGCAAACAGGATTGAAAGAATTTTGGTTGTTACAGTTAAATAATGACAACAGAATTGCTCCAGCTGTTAATTTAAAGAAAGCATTAAAGCTTTTGATAAAGGTTGGCAGGCTGTTCAATATTGCCCTCTTGTAAAAATCTCTGATTGGAATAAGTCCAAAGCAGATGGAAGGAGAGACCTGTGCTCTAAAGCTTGATGCGTGTGGCACAAGTAGCCAATGTTCTTTTAAAAAAAAAACAAACGTCTATGTGCTTCATGTCTGAGAAAGAGAATCTGACCTTTTGAACAACCAGCATCAGGAAGAAAATATTAAGGGTGGTGGCTGGAAAAGTTCCAAGATTTCAGAAGAAACTCCAAAATTAAATAAAATAAGCAAAGTCCCTCATGGCTCATCCCATCACCTCTGCTCCCTCCAAAGTATTAGTGGAATGGTGAGGCGAACTGCAAAAAAATTTCCACTCAGCCACAGCAACAACCTACTTAGAATACAGAGGTTGAGAAAAGTCATTTCCTCATTGAGTTGACTCTGCTTCAGAGAATGCAGTACCTTAATTTCACTCTTCTCAGTCACAGTCCTGGCTTGCTCCTCCCATTGAAAAATGCCAGATATCCAGGCAGATATAGAAATGCACGTCTTATCACATCAGCTATGTTACCACAGTAAAGATGCTCAATGTTCTGAAAAGCCTGAGTGCTGGAGCCAGGCTGGTGGTGCAG